AAAAAAAAAAAAAAGAACTCACAAACCCCTGAGTTACAAAAAGAGCTCAGGCCTGGGTTCTGAAAACCCAAGCAGCTCATCAACTGGGGTGCTTTGAGCAAACTCCCCACCCCACCTTTGAGCTGCAGTTTCTCCATTTGTACCATGGAACAAACACCCATCGCTCAGGGCAAGTGTGACGATCAGCTGTCACATGTGAGAAGTGTTGCGTAAGCCAAGACACTACCTCAGCAGTTGTCACTGCTCTCCTGAAGTGGCTTCTCCACTGACTGCTGCTGGGTGACCCTGGGCAAGCCAGCTCTGCGGGTTTCAGCACCCAGAAATGGGATGACAACAGACCTCCTCCTATGCGGAGGGAGCTGTGTGCGAGGGGGTCTCACAGCAGGCCTGTCACATAACACACAGGAGCAGCACTAACTCTTAGTAACTAGCATCTAACGACTAGATGTTTGGCCCCTTCCTTCCATCAGGGAGTTTCTTATCTGCTGACAAGAGAATTTCTGATTTTTTGCTAGAATCTGGATTTTCCTTGAAGCCAGTGTCCCAGGAATAGTATCAGGTGTGCCTGTCTCCGCCTCCATTTGGTCTCTTTCATTCACCTCAGTCTAGGGCTGCAAATTGTCAAATCCGCGCATTAAAGGTCAAGGTACTAGCTGACAGCGCAAAGCATTTAAAATACCACTATCCTCCTGGGGGCTTCTGGAAAGCCATCTGATACCGGTGCGCACTGATCTGCCCGTGTGAGCTGGTAACTGTGTCCATCCACTCAGGAGTCCCTCTGAGGCCGTGTGGCAGCCTTTCATGGCAGGGTTCGGGTAGGGGTTGTATGTGCACCAGCAGCTCCAAAAACTAAGTTTACAAACTTTTTATATAAACTGATTTTAATGTAGGGGAGTCATCAAATCCATGCCTGTAAAAAGCAGAAAATCGGCCACTTTTCTCTGCTGACCTTAGTGCTGTTACCCACATGTATGGGGAATGCCTGTCTCTGCGTCTAGGGACCCACAATACCCTTCTGGTCCACCTGGAGGATTTCCCCTCCCCAAGGGGAAGGAACGGCCATTGCTGGGCCACCTCCACGTGCCAGACTCTGCCTTGGGTCCTTCCCATTCTGATCTCAAGGAATCCTCCTCGCCACCCTCAAGGTGAATGATGGTTTCCACTGATTAACAAATGAGCACACACTGGTGTCTTTGTCTCTGAGGCTGATGTCCCCAGCAGGGCCACCGTCTTGCTGTCAGTACTATTCCTAAAACATCTAGGGATCACACACTATAGTCTCAGGAGTACCCAGGAGCAGCCTGACACAGTGGCCTTGGTCTCAACCACTCACTGCTAAGATTTAGGCTTCAAACCAGAGTCCGTGATTCAGCCTCTATCACTCCACACTGCCGCTGTTTCCTTTCAGAGGAGAAAACGTTACAGCCAGCTTGGGTTAGAGAGGACGCTAACAGGTACTGAGCAAGTCTGTGTCTCCGTATTTGCATTTCACCCTCACCCAACCTGTGTGGGAAGCCCTGTCCCCCTCGTCCCAGTATTTACAGCTGCAGGCAGGGGCAGCGATGATGGCAGCCAGAGAGAGTCCAAGGTGAAGTCTGCTTTTTGCATTTAAACAAAAAATAGCTTTGGGGGGCTCCAGTAAGGACACGTGCTCATTATAACAAATGGAAATGAAAAAAAAGCACAAAATAACTTGAAATCCCAGCAGAGACCGCTGCGGTTAACACAGTGATGAGCGTCCTTCAGCCGTCTCTCCCTGCACACACACACACACACGTGAACCGGTCACCCTCTGTGTGTTGCTCTGTGACCTTCTCTACTCTAGAAAATGTAAGGTAAGCATCTTTCCATCTCAACACGATCTGCACCCTCCTTGGTAATGACCGCCTAACAGTCCGCTGTCTGCAGCTGCCACCATTGATGAAGCAGGCCCCATGCGTCTCCCAACTCTTTATATTCCCCTTGTCACAATCCCTAGAATCAGGTAGGAAGCAAGAGAGCTGCACAGATTTGTGACTCAGTATTAAGATTTTCTTCTTTAATTTCTTTCCTACAAGTACCATGGGAGGCAGGTGTCCTTTGTGTCCCTTTCTGCAACAGTTCTGCCCCCAGCCTCTCCATTCACACCGGCCTGGGGGAGGGGGCAGCTGTCAGGGCGCTCAGCCTCTTCCATTCAGAAGGCAACAGCACACTCGGCTACGAACAAGTCCCATCACACAAAATGTCAAGACGCCTGTGCACTGACAGGCACTGGAGCGTGAACATCCTTTATTGAGGTTAGAGGTGACCGTACCTTACCTTTTCGTCCCTGATATAAGCTCCATGTCAGATTCCTCCGCCAGCTGCAGCCGTGCACAGACGTCGTTCTCCCGTCTCAGGGCCCACCTTATCGGTGATGTTAGACCATGTCCGGGGATGCTTGAACAGTAGCTGCTGTCACCATCTGCTATCAGCACCAGGACCCTGAGGAAGAGGGGCCCAGCTTCAGACACACCTGGCTTGCAGACCTGTTCCACCTCTGTCCCGCTCTCCAGGAAGCAGGGCCCGGACCCAGCACATCTGGTCTGCTGGGGCAGAGTCATCCACTTCTACCAGGGCAAGGACAGGAGGAATCTGGGGAAGGGAGGCGAGGATGCATGTGCTGCTGGGGGCCAAGGACCCAGGGACACGACCTGCTGAGACAGAAGGGGCCTCTGCAGAAGTGAGGGGCAGAGCAGTGTGGGCAGGAGAGAGTCAGCAGGTAGCAAGGAATGGCATGACATAGAGGTCCCTGAAAAGTCTGCAGACCCAGAAATGCCCTGATGAGATGGCGGTGCCAGGTGGGCTCGCCACAGCACATCCTATCCCAGGGTCTCACTTGGCCACCTGGGCAGAGCTACAGCAGGAGGGGAAGGAGGGTCTCCAGAGGCTATAGGAATTCAACCACCTAGAGCAGTCAGCCCGTCCTGCACCCTGTGTATGAGGCCCGAGGCTGGCGGCTGTCCAGCTGGATGAAACTAGCCCCGCAGCCCCCAGCAGCGTGTAGGTGAGCTCAGGTGCACTGTCCTCGTTCCCAGGCTAACGTCTCCACCTGTAGGGGCTGGGTGGTGAGGGGAGCTCTAGCTCCATCACCATATGCTACCCAGTGCTGGACGAGGAACTTGCCATGGGCGCATCACAGGAACTGCCCCTACGTGTGATGACACATCTTTTTCTTTCTCTGCTACCCCACAAAAGTTCCATGCTGCTTTGGAAAATATGCCGGTGCTCTCCTCTCTTGCCGCAAGTAATTAAAACTCCTACTGATCAAGACCCATATTCTTGTGGAGAGTCTTTTGTTACTCACCAGGCGAGCAAACCCCAGTTCTTCTCAGTAATGATCATTTGGGTAACAGGAGGAGGGAAAGCACAGGCTGTAGCCGGGTGAGGGGGCCAGGGCCGTGCAGGAGCAAGAACTGGGAGGTGATTACAAGTCTCCCGGAGACCCCCGTGTGGGCTTGTAAAGGCCTGAATGTGAGACTGCCC